GCGACGAACAAGAGTCTCCAAGTGCCCTAGCTTGATCTTCATCACCATTGGAGCTTGGCTTGAGCTTGGAAGAGTGCCGATCAACGTCCAGGAGCTGAAATCCATCCTTCATAGTATGGTTTCCGCATCTGATTCTGCTTTTGCTTCTTTCTCCATGGAGTAGTTCTCCCATTCATCTGGGTGTGGGAAACCCTAGATCTGTATGTTAGGATTGATTGTATGAACCCAAGTACTGTTTCTATGGTTTGATTATATTCGATTGAGGTTTGAATGATTGAATGACATGAATCCTGATCAAATTCCTGTTGTTTCTGCTTTAACCTAGAATGAGAGTATATGCCTAGGTTGATAGAGCACCCTTAATTGAAGGTAGTTAATTGGTGACTTTAGTCGAGGAGCCAATTCGCTATTCTGTACCGAATTCAACTCGGTAGTGGAGGTTTGGTTCTTTAGGGCCTCAATCTGTTTACTCCGGTGGAGGTTAGTCGCCCGCTAGAGACTCAGATTGAGAGGGTCTGAAGACCTTTAGTCGAGACTTCAGACTGTTTGAGAACCTTCCGCAGTATAACTATCATAGAAATTGAACTTGGTAATTACAATCCGGCTTAACTGCATACTAGGGGGAACCATATCCGGGTGACCTCTCTTAACCTGAAAACAACCGTTTAGTTACTTTGCTTGCTTGTTAGTTTAGACCTTCACTAAAGTTTCATTGCTAGATAATACGAAGTCACTGAGTAGTCATCATATCTAGGACCCGGGTTGACAATAAAACCCAAACCCGCTATACTACGCTTTAGGAAGTGGTTACACTTGGCCATTTTCTAGAGTGACAGACTGACAGTAGGAGTGAGTCAGAAACCCTAACGAACTATATGATGAACGTACTAAACCCCGCTCGAGAAAGACCAAACTGAAGGCACAAAACTTAGTCGAGAGTTTGATAGAGACATAGAGGTTCACAACTTACAAGTCTGTTGGGGTCATTTTGCTTTCAGTTGAAAAACAAGAGTTTGTGAAAAAGAGTAGTTCTTTTGTTTGATGAGAAGAAGAGAAATGTGTTTATGATGAGAAGGAGAGAAAATTGGGCAGGTTCATGTAACTATAAGTCTAGAATTGATGTCTATTTCTAGAGAATTTTGAGAAAAAAATTGATGTTGGAGTCCAAAGAGTCGTTGGGCTGAAGTCATGCACTGAAGGGTAAAAATTTCTTTATTTTTTTAATTTGAAACTGCTCCATCCGACGACTAGTCGCACGAGGCGGCGGTGCGCCAAACACGTGGCAAGGGGCGCGCCCCTTCCCTCGCCGCGCGTGCGACGCATCTCTTCAGTGCAAAACCCGGCCCCCAATTTTGGTCCTTCTTAGCGTTTTGTGGTCCAAATTTGATCCTAAATTTTGGTTTTTTTTTGGGTTTTCTAGCCCTTTGGTCTTATCAGTGGAGTGCTAATTTTTGGTTATTTGGTGAGATGGTGTTAACATCTTAATTTATATTTATTGATATATTTGGAATGCATTTTTTTTTTTTGCCAAAAATATTTGGAATGCATACTTATAGTACTCATCTATCTATCTATCTACTCTACTATACTTATAATACGCCGAAGGGAAAAACGGGAGCCCCGTTTCAAATTTCCTGCAACGAGAGTGAAAGTAGAAAGGACATTTTGGTCATCACAATTACTTTTTTTTATTCATTAAAAAGATACATACTGAGATTCGAACCATAACCATTTTAAAGAAAGGCAAGGACCATAACCAATCACACTAACTACATTTGTTGTATCCTTTTAAATTAAAAACATACAATAGCAGGGTGGAAAAAACTCTTCCCCCATTTCATATTCCCTGCTCCAGGAGCGTTTGTAGGAAGGGTAGAATAGGGAGTGTCGATTTTTTTCTCTTTCCTCTGTGGAACGGGCCAACTTACCGTACACATGCGGATTTAAACGGGTCCAGGAGTGTCAATTTTTTTCTTTATACCCTTTTATTTCTCCGTGGTGATAAATATATACGAAAACGCAAAAATAATACTCCTTTTTATTGTTAAAAATAAAAAAATTAACAATAAACTAATGCATGGAATCTAATGGGCTAACCGCTAACCATAAAATAAAAGGGTTGAATGGGCTTGACCTACATGGGATTTGGCCATCAAGTAAAACAAATGAACATCATTGGTTTGTCATTCTAAAACAAGCTATTTTCTCTTGCATAATATATATTATGCTATTATTTTATATCTTAGTGGCTAAAATATAATGTATTTTAAAGTTATTCAATGGTTCAACCTCGACCAACCCAATTAGTCCAATTTTTATCATTTCAAATATATATTTTATAATTATTTGACATCATAATGATCAAATTATAGTGTATTTTATAGGGAATCATTTGGTATTTGTTAATAAAAAACTAAACATAAAGATCTATTTGTTTATTTTAAACATTAAAATGATCCTAAACATTTTCAGTTCCTTTTGAATTTCTATGGTTTTATTCCCGAATAAATGATGTGCAAATGGCAAATTGTAGTCGTTTCTTTTCTTTCACTATTTTTTATTTTCAAATAAAAAGTTTAAAAGTAAAGAATAATTAGAATTTGGCATGGGTCGGTCAAACAGGCTGAATTTCAAGTTTTGGCCCGTTTGTTTTATGCATTGCAAATTTATTAACATTTGAGACACATATCACCTACTGCATTGTATCATTTTGCCTGGGTGCTTGCTGTGTTGTCAAACTTCTTTGCTGCTGATGCATTTACGCTAACAGGGGAGTTAAGAACCCATGAATGTTTCCGTTTGACACAAACAAGAGCAGGATAGTCAAAATCCCGATTTAAATCCTAAAATCCTACGGTTTTACGATTTTACTTACCTATTCCGATTCTGATTTCACTATAAAATCTATGGACCTCAAAATCCTACACTATTCACGATTTAAATCCTTAAAATCTTCAAAATCTTATGATTTTACGATTCAAATCTTAGAGTCAATTTTATGTATTTCCCCCCAGAATTTGCAAAATTACGCCTCTTTTTCTTCTCCTTCGCCAACATCATCTAGTTCTCTCACACTAACCTCCATTGATTATAATCAATTCACATCAACGTATTAATCATCATCGATTCACCACCTCTTAACATTAACCTTGATAAATTAGAACATTAACCTTGAAAAATTATCATTGTAAGTGTTTTGTGCTTTTGTGTTATTCATGATTTTCCTTACTAATATTATTTCGTCTTCATTTTTATATGGACCTTAAAATCCTACGATTTTACGATTCTGATTTTACCCCCATTTTTTATTTTACGTAAAATCCCGATTTTGACTGCTTTGAACAAGAGGACTTACTTCTAAATCGTGCACTAAAGATGATTGGAGGAAACATCTCTGTTGCAGTTGATATACTGGAGACCATAACAAAAGCAACGTATAACATCAAAACCAACCATTTGAACTATTAACATTGTTGCTTTACTCTTTTTTCGTGGTTGAGTCTCCTTCAAAAAATTTTGTTTGATTTTAGAAAATTTTGCTTCTGCAATCCTGTCTTGCCACCAACGCATTCAGTAGATGGAGATGGCAGAGGCGAAGGCTATTTTTGTGTTGTTGTTGCTGGTTTAGGGATCGGTTTGTGAAGAGGAGGGGGAAAGGAAAATGCAGGAGAGGGGGATAACTCTTTTCTCCGACAAAAATGGAGTGAAGAAAGGAATTATGATCAGTAAGGATATGGTTATCTTACATAAAGGTCTCTATTATGTTTGAATTGAGCTTGGGAGACAGTGATAAGGACGAGCTTCAACCAATTCATAGTGATAAGAGTGCCATGAACTGTGATCATGTATTATTTCAAGTTAGAAGGTAGTTTCAGTATAAGGATTATTTAATTTGACAAGTTGTTTCGTCCATGATTCTTGGTAGTTTCAGTGCCATTCTAGCCATTGTTTAGTCTGTAATTTTTTAGACTTGATGTGCGAGTAATGGCTTTCACTTAGCTTCAACCATTATGTGTGTATTTATTGGCATGTGATAGAATTCTCTTTTCCTTTTCTTTGAATTCAGTTCATACTCTAATTGTATCATTTGTACATAGGCAAATCATGCTCGAGATGACAACTCGCTAATATGGCTGGTGCAAGGAATGAAGCCATCATTAGAATTCAGACCGACAACGGGGAGGGATGCCCAGGACTAATTCAATGATGATTGATGATGGTATAATAAAAACTGCAGTCTCCATCAGCACCAATTTCTAGGCCTAAGTAAAGTTATTCAACCCAGAACTCTGCTTAGCGCTAAAAATTGCCCTCACCCAACCTTGATCCTGTTTGACCCACTTCTGAAGAGTCGAGATATATGACTAATCCTCTCTGTTCATATTTTCTTATTGACTCTTTCTGACCCTTTAGGTTGGGGCGGGTCGGGAAGAATCGGATTAATGGGTCGGTCCTAATCAAGTGGAATCCAAATCTCTTCACTCTCACTTGCTTTCTCTCCCATTCCACAAGTGGGTAACATACAGTAATCCGGCCAACGGGCCGGGTAATAAGCTAGTGTTTATTATGCTCCAATTAATTAATAATTTACTAAACAGTCCGCAACGAAAGAATATTCTCATTGGGCTTCTCTAAGTGATCCAAACATGGTCCTCAAATAGGCCCATTCTATACGATTGGGCTTTGACGACTACTGACAAAACGACCGATCCCGACAAGGGAGTGGCTGTTTCCCTTTTCTTTCTCCCTCTTTGGGAAATTTTCGATAACTTTGATGTAAAATTCCCGGTGTAATGTTACTCTGCTCTCACCACCACGCGCACCCGGTTCTTCCTCATCAACGTTTCTCATCGCGACCGTCCAGCAATTACATCCTACGGCTCCTGACAACAACCACAGAGTAGGAAACTAGGGTTTGTGACTCCCAGAGTATATAACCTCCACAGTTACTCCACCGCCGGCGCGGTGCAGTTCGAGCTTCTGCCCTCCCACCCTTAAAAAAACACCAAAAAAAAAATTCTCCTTTTCCTCTCCATCGTCTAGCCGTCCGGTAGTGTCCGTCTCCGGTCGCCGACGATTCTATCCCTCCTATATCCTATCCCCCGCCCCCTCTCCTCTTTTATTATCCCTAAATTTTGCCCTCTATTACTTGTCCGGTTTTCGTTTTAGGATCACATTCGGGAGATAGAGTGGCGCCGTGAAAGCCACTGTGTTTTTATCGTCTCTCTCGAGGTTTCCGATTCTTATATAATCGTAACGAGGAGAGTGGGGAACGGAGAAAAAAAATAAAAAAAATTTGGTTCTAGGAAAGGTAGAAGAAGAAAAAAGGAGTGGGATTTGCAGAAGGGCTCAAAGGTTCTGAGATGGCGCAGATTCAGGTGCAGCGACAGCAGGCGGCGGCGACGGGAGCTGCGGCTCCTCCGCCTCCTCAGTCGATGCCCACTCAGAATGGAATGGCTGGTGGGGTGGCGACTGGACCAATCCCTTTAGGTTCCACCTCGCTCTATGTTGGAGATCTTGATCTCAACGTGTCCGAGGCGCAGCTTGCCGATCTGTTTGGCCAAGTCGGCCAGCTGGTGTCCATTCGGGTCTGCAGGGACCAGACTACCCGGCGATCTCTCGGCTATGCTTACATTAACTTCACCAATGGACAGGAAGGTCAGTAATTTCGTAATCGCTTACCTTTTTGTAGTTTAGGGTTTGCCTTATGGAATGCTCTGTGGTTTTGGGTGTGCATGTTTATGCTGGATTGTTTAATACTTTTTACCGGTGTGCGAGCTCTTGAATGTAATTGCTAAATTGATGACCACCATAGGGCACATTGCGTACGATGGAGCTTGTTCTTCTTGTGTTGAAACGAGAATTAGGCTATATGCTGAATGGATTGCTTTGGAACATGGCATAGTTGCATGTATATACAATTATACTTTGGGTAAAGTCGGTTTATATTTGGATGTGACCCAAGTCTCAGTCGGGGTTGCTGGATTCATTGTTCATAGGATGATTCTAAACTCATCATTCAGTTGCATTTTGCATCTTCAAATCCTAATAAAGCTTATCTATATGTAGATTGAATGGTCTCTTTGTGGAGTTTATACTTGCCCCAAGTACGAAGTTTAATATGTTTTTGTAGGGTGCTTACTGTATGCTCTCTTCATGATTAACCTCAACCGACCCTGTTCACATGATGCCTTATTAGTTTCACTTGCTCTTGTGTGGCCACTCTTACTTTTCGCACATTCTTATGTTCATTGTTATTCTTTTTTGGTAGAAAGTTTGTAGTATATACCATAAGCCGATTACTTACGCTTTTCCACCCTTCCCCCCTGCTCAACAGCTGCAAGGGCATTGGAATTGTTGAACTTCACTCCACTCAACAACAGTCCTATCAGGATCATGTATTCACATAGGGATCCTAGTCTTCGTAAGAGTGGTGCAGGAAATATCTACATCAAGGTACTTGCTCTTGGTTTCAGCCTATAATGTTGCTATCCATAATCTTTAATTTTGTTACTGCTTTGTTTTATGGTATCTTGGACTTCTTCCTTGAATCGTAAACCTCGATTCAGTATTATATTCTTTCTGTGATGCTCCTGGGTCATAAAGTCAGTAGTAAATTTTAGTATACATTTTTGTTTCCCAGGTCCCTAATATGCTGTTGATTTTTTCATTGTATATACAACTATATTACTTTCTCTCTACTTTTGGTGATGTCATTTTGTGCACTGCAGAACCTTGACAAGGCAATTGATCACAAAGCTTTGCATGACACTTTCTCTGCCTTCGGCAACATTCTGTCATGCAAAGTGGCTACTGATGCTTCTGGACAGTCCAAAGGTTATGGTTTTGTTCAATTTGATACCGAGGAAGCTGCTAAGAATGCTATTGACAAGTTGAATGGCATGCTGATTAATGATAAGCAAGTTTATGTTGGGCCCTTTCTCCGTAAGCAGGAGAGAGATAGTTCTACAAGTAATACGAGATTCAATAATGTATTTGTGAAAAATCTTTCCGAATCAACAGCGGATGAAGACTTGAAGAATGTTTTTGGAGAGTATGGTTCAATTACTAGTGCTGTGGTGATGAGGGATGGAGATGGGAAGTCTAGGTGTTTTGGCTTTGTTAATTTTGAAAATGCAGATGATGCAGCTAAAGCTGTTGAGGCTCTTAACGGGAAAAAATTTGATGACAAAGAATGGTTTGTCGCAAAGGCTCAGAAGAAATCTGAAAGAGAGCAAGAACTGAAAGGACGGTTTGAGCAAAGTATGAAGGAAGCTGTAGATAAGTACCAAGGCCTTAATCTCTACATTAAGAACTTGGATGACACCATATCTGATGAAATGCTCAAGGAGATGTTCTCTGAATTTGGTACAGTAACATCATGCAAGGTATGATATGTGCACTTTTTTGGCTGCTGCATCCTTTTCTTCTTTCAAAATTTTGCTCAACTTTGACTGTTTCTTTTTTGGGGGTGAATTTAAAGGTTGTGCGTGATCCAAGTGGAGTTAGCAAAGGTTCGGGGTTTGTTGCATTCGCTACACCTGAAGAGGCTTCTCGAGCTGTAAGTTAAAGGGTTTATTGGTCCCAGTATCCATATGATTAAACTACTTGCCAGTTTGTAACAATAATTGAGTGCCAATTCTGTCTTCTTCTCAGATTAATGAGATGAATGGAAAGATGATTGTTAGCAAGCCTCTCTACGTTGCGCATGCTCAACGCAAGGAGGAACGTCGAGCAAGGCTTCAGGTTCAGTAATTGTGTATCATTCTCATGGATGGTGCACTTCATTGAAAATATTTTAAACACATGGAGAGACTTATTGTTCATATATTATTGATGTTGTTGGATTTTCCATTTGCTCATGTTTGATTTGTGTATGGAAATCCAATATAATCAACTGTCATTTTAAACCTCTTAAAGTCATTTTTATGATTTACTATTTTATACTCGTTAGGAATTTTGGGAATGTATCCCGGGGTGTGGCCTTCGTTGGTTGACTATTGTCGTTTTGCAGGCTCAGTTTTCACAAATGAGGCCAGTTCCTATGCCTCCTGCAGTTGGCCCTCGTATGCCGATGTTTCCCCCTGGTGCACCTGGGCTTGGGCAGCAGTTTCTTTATGGCCAAGGTCCTCCAGCCATGATTCCTACTCAGGTACCTTCCCTGATTTCCGCTGTCGCTGTTGGTATACTACATTATAAAGACTGGATTGTTTTTTCTTACTACTTTGGTGAGTATTGTAGGGTGGGTTTGGCTACCATCAGCAACTTGTGCCAGGGATGAGGCCTGGTGGTGGTCCCATGCCAAACTACTTCGTACCTGTTGTCCAGGGTCAACAAGGCCAACGCCCTGGTGGTCGTCGTGGAGGCCCGGTACAGCAATCACAACAACCAGTTCCCATGATGCCCCAGCAGGTCTTGTTGAATGAATGAATCAATCAATGGATTTGATTAATCTACATTTTTTCTTGTTATAAAATACAATATTAAACAGTATACTGGCTGAAATTGCAGATGATGCCTAGGGGTGGACGTGGCTACCGTTACCCTCCCGGTCGCAACATGTCTGAACTTCCCATGCAAGGTGGAGCCATGCTCTCTGTCCCCTATGACATGGGTGGCATGGGAATACGTGAGGCTGCAGCTGGGGGGCAGCCTATGCCCATCACGGCTCTTGCATCAGCCCTTGCCAATTCAACTCCTGAACAACAGCGAACTGTATGCTGTTTTTTTAGTTGTGCTTTGTTACCATCTTTATTGCCATTTATTCCTTAGATTGAAATCTTTTCGCATTGTGCAGCTGTTGGGTGAAAGCCTGTACCCACTGGTGGAGCAGCTGGAGCATGACTCGGCAGCCAAGGTTACTGGGATGCTCCTGGAGATGGATCAGACTGAGGTCTTGCATTTGCTCGAGTCACCGGACGCCCTGAAGGCTAAAGTAGCAGAGGCAATGGAAGTGCTCCGGAACGTATCTGCTGCTGCTCATCCACAGGCAAACAACGCAGCCGATCAGCTCTCTTCGCTGTCGCTGAATGATGGTATTGTGCCATAGAGTAGTCACGGGGGCTTTATGTGGATGGAAGAATAAAAGAGTGCAAGGGGTTTTGCACCACCGTGAAGACACATTTTTGGTGATTTCGTTGTTTTTAGAGAGTGTTCGTTCTCCTTGGATATTTCCCAACTTGTTAGGTCTTTTCTGTTCCGTGGTTGAGTTGTTTCCGAACTCGTTTTGTTCTTTGCCCGGTCAAGTTAGGATGTTGAATGTTTTTGGGTAGGATGCAATGCTTTTTCCATTTTGATCTTGTGCTCATCTGAATTGGGTTGGTCTGCGGAATTTTGGGATGAACTTCTCGTAAACTACCATTGGTTTGTCATCACTTCCATCTCTTATATTTTTTTTATATTTCCCGTTCTGGTCCTGTAAATGTTAGGATTGGAGATATTGCTGCCATTGGCTTACTTGATAGCTGGAGATCGCGAAAGTGTGAAACTACATTTCTTCAAGGCAACGATGGAAATTTGGGGTAAACACAATTACGAATAGGGTGGGCATTGGTTAGGTTTTGGTTCAAATTGACCCACTCACTAGTCACTAACTAGCGGGTTGATATAATTATGATTTGCCATCCTATATTTTTCTTTGGGTTGGGTAGGTGGCGGATCGCTGCATTTAGTTCCGAGTCAACCCGCAAAAATAATTTAATTTTTCATCTAGTTATTAAGAAAGTTGACTAACATTTATAATAGTATTTGTATTATATTTTTCATTACTATATCAACCAATTGCGTAGAAAAAATTGATGCACTGTGACTGATACAATTAATATTTTATAATTTGCATCACAATATCTAATGAACATAACACAATATAGTAACAAATAATAGTAGTCGAAAAATATTATTTATTCTCCACCTTTGGAAGTCGATGGCCACTAAGAAACAACATTTTGTCATATGAAAATATGGTGCGAGTCATTCGGGTAACTCGCAAATCACCCACACACTACGGTTCGGATTATTTACGGGTGGATTAATGTCAAATTGGGGATTAACCACCCACATGCCTAATCCTATTTAAGAATACAATTACCAACGGTGTAAAAAATAGGTTTGCAAATTTACTATTTTGGATTACCCCCTAAATTGGGTTGCATAGGAAGAAAGGAAAGGAGATGATAGAGATTATAAGCTTTATATTTTTTTGTTTTATAATTATATAATAATTAATATTATCCATATTTTTCTTATGATTATTATCAATGTACACGTTCATGGGTGTTCGTTTGACTTCTGTAGCAGGTTTGTCAAGGTTTGTCTAGTCAAATCGAAATCTCTTGTCTCCCTCGAACTTGCTTTGAGAGAAGAAGTGTTTGAGGAAAATGTAGAGAGAAATGAATTGGTTGACTCAGTATACTTGACTAAATAGTTAAAACTTACAAATTCGAACATGTTTGACTAAATTTGACCACATCCATTTTAAAGTTAAACTAGGTAGGAGAACCCTGCAGGATGACCAGTAACGAGTTAAGCTACGAGCTTGAGATTGCTCGACTATTGATTACTATAATTGAAATAATTAATTACTATTTGATCATTACCTTTTAATAATTATTTTTATTAAATTATATTTATTAATATTTAAGATTATTAAATAAAATATCTTATTTTATTCTGTACATTTTTTTTAATTTTAATAAAAATATAATTTACTTACATTTTACTATATTTGCATTCCCTATCTTTTCATTCCAAATAACAATTTCCTCTTTCATTTACAGCCCCACCAATTTACACACCCACAATTTCCCCCTCAACTTGAATACATTAAGACTCCTCCTGCCATATGGTTGTTCTTTCCCAGCAATTTCAATATTAAACTCACATCATTCTCAAATTCTGATTAGGTTGGATGTCCAGACACAAGAAAATCAATCATTTGCTTTTGTGTTTTCCTTGGATATCCCCTCATTAGCTAAAATTCCAAGAAGCAACAAACTGTTTCAACGTCTTTTGCTGGAGTAAAATATAGAGCTTTGGCTGATACTTCTGCAGAACTACAATAGTTGCATTTCCTATCTAAAGAACTTCCAGTTCAACATCCCAGGCCTTATACCATCTACTATGATAGTCTATTTGCTGTAAGAATGACAAAAACAATTAGACATGAAAGAACTAAACATATTAATATTGATTGCCATTGCACTCGTTCAAGCAGACCCACCGAAATCCAGCACTTTTCAACTAAGCTTCACCTAGCAGGTCCTTTCTACTATGATAACACTGCAAGTTTTTTCGGTTGATCACTACATAACTGATTTTGCTTTCGGTCTCAATTCTCTCACTAATCGAGTCTTGGAAAGCAAGAATTACGCATTTACCAACGTGCTACAGCTCAATAATTACACTATGACTCCCACATAAATTTTGTCAACTTCAATTTTTTTATATTTTAATTTGGTTTTCCTCATTGGAATAACCGCAACAAGAAACAAAGTTAGGGGGTGGGGTGGGCATGGGAAGAAATAGTCGGTATAAATGAGAATTATGCATTAGGTAATAAAACCAATGTTTGTGAAACTGTATCGGAAGTTATACTGAAAAAATTAGTGATAATATATTTTGTATTGAAATCGTAATTCAATTGTTTTGTAATGCTAAAATCGCTTATTATTTAGGAACCGGTATACGATATTTTCGGTCAGGCCGACAGATATAATAAAATTTCTTGAACCATGAATAAAACTACAATATGAAGAAAGAAGTATTATAATTATATATTAGAAAAATGAAAAATCTAAGTGAGGAGTGTAAGACGTATGCTACGAGTGCATAAGAACGTTAGAAAAGAGAGAAAAAATTAGCTAGATTCTTGATCCCCCCTTTGGACTATTAGTTATCGCCAATCACTAGAAGAAAGAACGGTTCAATGAATACACGGTTCAAAATTCAGGCCCTAATCATGTAGCTAAAGTTTATTTTATATGTGTAGTTATTATGCAGAGAAACGTGGGGAAAACAACAGTGAAAGGTGAAACACGGCTCAAGTGTTTACTTAAATTTGGTCACTTGATTTGTTTGATTTAAGGGAGGACACTAAATTTTTTTAATTTTTCCAAAAATTTTAATCGGATTGTATTTTCATTGTTTTAACTCGAATTTTAAAAGTTTTTTTTCTAATGGAACGAGTTCATTCTGATACAATGATATCAATTTTCAATATATTTGGAGAGAAAAATTCGTACAACTCATACAGTCATACCACTCTTTACCACCCTGATCCCACCGGGTATCACTCTGTATCATCTTTATTTTTAACTCAAATTTTGAAAAGTATAACACCGAAGTAACGAGTTCATCGTGATCTACTAACTTTCTTAAAAAAATCAGAAAAAATATATTACCCTTTACACCCTGATACAGTATGGTAACTGGTGATGAATGGCGGTGAAAGATGGTAAATGGTGGTTAGTATACTTACATTATCCTGTATATAACCATTCTTCTACAATATGATATATCCAAAACATCATGATACACTTCCATATCAACATGGTATAATCTTGTATGCTACCAAATATTACCACCATGGTATAAGGCGGTAATATATATCTCAAATTTTTTGTTCAGAGATATATAAAGGTGGATGTCAGAACTCAATTAATTTGATTTTTCCCGTGCAAAAAAAATTTCGACTTAAGACAAAATAGATTTGGGTCGTTAAATAAAATTCAGGAAAAAGTTATGTTATTGACTAGAGCACCACGCCGAGTGAGATCTCTTGTATAATTGGCCTTCGATGATGAGCATCGGGCCGCTTTCCGGGGGAGGCGCCACGCTTCCTTGGGATCGTCCGGTACAATGTCTTGGGTTAAGAACAATTCTATCGACGCCATCCAACCATCATCTCTGCCTGTACCGTTAACGCCACGATCAGGTGCTCTTGCGACATCTCTCTTGTGACAATGACCCTCCTTTCCTCAGCGAAGTCCAAGGAGGTGGCTAACTTTGACAATGCATCGGCGAGGCGTGCTTCTCCCGCATGACATGCGTGAAAACCACCTCCTTAAACCAGGTGCCTTTTCTCTTTACCGCTTGCACATAGGTCTCGAGCGCCTCCTCCTTGACCTAAAAAAACTCCACTCAATTGATTGGCTACTAGGGTTGAGTCGGATTTGACCTGCACCTTCTACGTGCCCAACTCCTGCGCCATGTGGAGTACGGCGATGACCGTTGCATATTTCACAGCGTTGCGACACGTAACGCGATCTCGTGCATTGGCCCCAAAGGACTGATGATCACGATTCCCGGTCCGGCTAGCGATGCCATTCACTTGAACTTGCCAACTTTCCTCCTCATCCAGCTCTGCCTCCACTATTCCTTCCACAACAAAGTCTAGCAACACATGAGCCTTGATTGTTGGTCTAGGCGCATATTATATGTCAAACTCGCTTAACTGAACCAACCATTCAACGAGGCGCCCTGCCACGTCCATAGAGCCCAACGTGGACTTTAGTGGGAGATTGGTGAGAACGACGACGGTGTGTGCCTGAAAGTATGGTCTCAATTTGGTTGCCGCAGTTACAACCGCAGGGCGGCCTTTTCGATAGGCGCATACCTCTTCTCATGGGCCAGCATTGTTTGGCTGACATAGTAAACCTACTTTTCTTCTCCCGTAGGTGCCTCCCTCGAAACTAACACCGCCTTACAGAAAATTTCAAGACCGTAATGTACAAATACAATATTTCACCTTCTTTGGGCGCCATCATCACCGTAGGTGTGGCCAGGAGGTGCTTAAGCTCTTCGAACGCCTCATTGCACTCAGCATTCCAATGGAAGTGCATCACACTTTTGATCACTCGGAAGAAAGGAGCCGCCCTATCTACCGATCTTGGGATGAAGCGCCCAAGTGCTGCTTGCACCTCCTTGGGCGTTTTTGGCGGCGCAAGCTTGACGATTGCGTCGACCTACTTGGGATTGGCCTCGATACCTCTCTTTGTGATCATGATGCCCAAAAAACTGCCCACTTCAGTGTGGAATAAACATTTGAGAGGATTTAGGTGCATTCTATGGACCCGCATGGTTTCAAACGTCTCTTTCAAATCGTCCAAGTGATCTCCCCGCCATCGACTTTTCACGATAAGGTCATCTACGTAAGCCTCCATGTTTCACCCTATTTGGTTACGGAAAACGTTGTTAACCATGCGTTGGTATGTGGTGCCCGTATTCTTCAACCTGAACGCCATGACCCGGTAGCATAATTCCCGAAGGGCGTCAAGAAAGTCGTCTTTGATCGGTCCTCCTTTGCCATCAAAATTTTATGATACCCCAAAAACATGACGACAAAGCTGAGCATCTTGTGATAAGTTGTGGCGTCTACCAATAGATCAATGCGGGGCCTCGGATACACATATGTCGGGCATGCTCTTTTAAGGCTCATATAATCCATGCACATCCTCCAATCCCCCGATGAATTTGGCACAAAGACAACGTTCGAGAGCCAAGTC